CTCAGCACAAATTCAGTCCTTGTAATCCCCTAAATGCCCCTGTAACTCTTGTTGTCAGTCGGCGTGCCTCCCGAGGTAAATCTTCACTGGCTTATGGTGAATGCGCTGAGGTTTATGTGTCCTTCAAAGTGTGTGGTGGTGTTTGTGAAGATGGACAGGGGTGAGCAATGCTAGGGAAAAGTCTTCATTGATATGTAGAGCGTTTCTTGAGAGACGGCCCGACCTGATGCAAAACAACACAGTTCATTTACAGAGGACTTTGTTTAAGCCTCTGCTAATCCAGACCTCCCAACAGGAATGAAGCTTGGCATCGTTTTCTTCTCTCTTTGGAGAGATTAATTTGGGAACACAGTTTACTAGCCTTGAATTCTTTCTTTTTGTGTATTCATGTATGCAAATACAATTCTGAGTATAATTGGAACAACAATATGATGTGTTCTCCTTTGACTTTTGGTACACCAGAAATAAAATTAGTGCACATGCTTCAGCACAATGACTCCGCTATGATGTTCTAAAACATTTTATATAACATTTATATGTGTGTGTGTAAAAACTTAGCAAAATAAGTAGTGGCCTTTTGTTTGTTTACTTCCTTAGTCCCTATAGATCCCATTCCCTAGTCAGAATGATCCAGTTTGTACTGAGGAATATGTTTGATAAAGAGGTTTGTAATGTCAGACTCATTTGCGTTAGATGATCCTTGTCAGGTAGAATGACCTATTCACATAGAGACGATAAATGAAGTCTGTCATTTAATGGACTCCTGAAATTAGCCTCTTATGGGCACTTTGAAATATTATCTTCCACCCACACCCCTCTGCGCTTTACCTGAGTAAACCTTTTGTTTTAGAGTCCGTGGTGAAGTATGGACTGGCGGGGCAGTGGAGGGAGAAATTGCTTTGTCCTCTGCTATGTACACGAGGTGGTCATATACCAAGTGATGAGCAATCGGCAGAAATCACACTTGTCTTATTCACCCAATTAGCTTGTCAATGTAATATAAAATTCCTCCCTATCATCAATAGAAAACAATTATAAAATGTAATAACCACAGGCTGTAATGTGCCATGTTATCTCAGTTACTGCCCCAACGCCACGTTTTGGAAATGTAATTATAATAATTCAGTTGAAATGACAGGTGTGTTAATGCGAGGTGGAAGGATAATGCCGCTCTGTTTGAATTAATTAATTCAGCCAAACACTGTGTTTTATCTGTATGAAGCTGTCTGAAGGGCGATAATTAAGGAGTGCTTGAATTTAAACCCATGAGGTTTCTGCAGAGCTAACAATGCATCTAAGGGCATCTAAATTCCCTGGCCTCCAGCTTGAAGTGCTTTCGACTCATCTTCTGTGAGTTACGTGCTGCATCTGAGATAAGTGTTCTCTTGTCTTATGGGACACCCGAGAGTCGTGGTTTACAAGTGTTTCATGTTGTAGACGGATGGTTTCAAATGTCTCTTTGGCTGAATTTTATGGGGTTGTGACTACTGGGGAATTGCAAGATTTAGTTTTTCGATTTCAGTTCCATTAATGGTTCTTGTAGTACTTTTGAGGAAGTATTGAGTGCTGTTTTGTATTGCACAGCGCCATTCCATCCATGTTGGCAGAAAAATTAGCATGTTTTTTTTTATTGTTAATGGAACCAAAGTCATTTGTCTTTTTTGTTTAGTTTTTTTATAATTGTTTTAAAAGTTGCCTTTTCATAACCAACAATTTGCGCAATTGCAAATGTTTCTAGCTACACAAACATATTTTCAAAGTCTGGTCATATTAGCGCATTTCAGTGAAATTTCGTGGACAAAAAAAGTAGGGATGCACTAAAAAGAAAATTCTGGGTCGAAAATTCTTAGTCCTGCAGAGCTATTATTATCAGAGCATGTGAACGAGAAGCGGATCAGTGAACGAGAGGGTAGCGTCATTTTACCAGCGTTGCCCAGCATAGCCACACTATGTCACAGTACAGTAGGACTATTGCACACAGAAACAAGTCTACTGCTACATAGAAATTTCATGATAACCAAAACCAAAACTTTCAACTTTCGATAATTTTTGGCGGCCGAAATTATCCCTACAAAAAAAGTGTAGTAATGTATGAAGCACTTCTCACAAAAAAGTCACTTTCAAACCAAGCAGCTTTTTGAGGGTCAACACAGCAAATTCGTGAGAAGTTTTTCGCCCTCTCATGAAACTCCTGGTTGCAGGCCCATCGCGACAGGACAGGCAAACCAAGCAATTGCTTGGGGCCCCGAGCTGGCCTGGGGCCCCAAGACAACGACTGGTTAAGAATAAAATGCAACGACAAACTGTGTGAGCGCCCCTTTGATAGTCAATGCAGTAAAGTGTAATGACACTGTTATCGGGATCCCCCTCAAGGAGGCCCCTCTCAGTAGTCGCTGACAGCAGCCAGCCAACCACGTGATCTCTGCTGCCGGCAAAATACAAACCTCCTCGGGAGTTATCATGAAGCGGAATCACGACCTCCATGTCCATTTTGCTTGGGGCCCCCAAATTCCTTCAAACGGCCCTGCCTGGTTGTGTGGATTCCTATATAAATGTCTGGATGTTGCCCACGAAATTTCACCAAACTATAGTTAAGTGTGACTGCACCCTTAGACCGTGATTCATAATAGCAATTTGAGTCTGCAATTGTCAGATCAATGACTAAATAGGCTAGTTTTATCACCAGAGTCTGCGAAAATAGACACGGGAGGGTAGGAGGATAGAGGGATTATAGGAAGGAGACACTAGTCTTCAGTCATTGAAGTGCCCCAGGTGCTGTTATCAGCAACCATGATTACATCCTTGTCAGTCCACTAGGTTTCTAATCAACTTCATTTGTTGGTGCTCCTTAGAAGAACTATAGACCTTGAAGCATTTCTCCAGCTCTGATAGAGTTGGTGGAGGTCAGTGCCATAATTTTTTACAATTTCATGTCATCCAGGAGTGCACTTTCTCCATCAACTTCTGATGGCCTGAATTATGAATAAAATAAAAGCATGGGGGAGATTTTTGAGGGTTGGACTGAAGGGAATGAAAGACAAGTGGTATTGCTGACCTACTTCAGCATCTTATGATAAAAAGAAATGGACATTTAAAAGGGTATGAATCTTTCCACGAGTCTTTTGTGTGAAAGACTTTTAAAACATTCATGCCAGAGATGCTGTCCTTCTTTTGAAGGGTTCATTAAGCTTTTAAGTAACAGACATGAAAGTTCCTTCCATGGCCTTCGTGGATTTTCTTCCAAAGAGCCTTCTGAAAGTATTTCTAAAGCATTTTTCACCACAAAATTGTGCATTCATACAAGTAGAAGTAGTACAGAGGCACCCTCGTGTCATTTCAACCTCATTTAGGCTATTACTTTCTGAGGTTAACTTTTGTGTAGAATTTACATTATTATCAGCTACTTGGAGTTGGCCCTTTGGTCTTGTTTGATATTCTTTTCATGCTTCTGTGATTATTTAGTCCAACTAATTATAGCTTGTTTTACATCTCTGTGTTGTTTTGCATGTCTGTCACGTCAAGAGCAGATTAATAGCGCTCATCATCTCAGACAGAAGTTGAGGCAATCATGCATGGAAATTGAGTCTGTTACCTCCACCCCCTAAGCCAAACTGTTGCTCATCTTAAGAGAGCATAAATCATAACAGGAAAAATAGCTCCTCTAATCCACAACAAACTGCAAATAATGATCATTTTATACAGCACTATTATAGGAGTTTGCAAAAAGTCTGTTTTTTTTATTATGGAACCACGCTGACACAAAAGGTAATGCATTCACTTTTAGGATGGTATTTATTCAGTGTCATCACCCAGCGGTGTTTTAGTTTGTTTAATTGATGGATCCCCTGCTGCACCATATGCATGTGATTTTTAGTTCAAGGTGTCCTTTGATATGCTTTGATATCTTTCTTTCTGAACCTGGCAAATCAAACGCTCTACCAGTGATAAAAGACTGTTTCATCCAGATATCAGGTCTATAAATTAGTACATTTTACATCGTTGTTTATTGATGTTGTAAATGTCATATCTTTACATTGTTATAGTTAGTGAGGTAAATGTGCAATAATATTGTTCCATAAAGCCTTATGGATCTTTAAAAGCTACAATAAGTGCCTTTTATGCTGAAATAAATTATAGTAGGCTATATTTTTCTGAAATTCTTTTTACGTCTCTATTGCGTCATATTCACAAATGACAAAGAATATTCAAGATAAAAAAAAAAAAACAGGAAAATAGGGATTAGTTACATTAGCTGAAAATAAATGTTGTCTCTGAAATACAGCAAGGCATTCAATTTGAATAAAATACTTGATGTTTTTTTAATGTTGTTTGGGGTAACGTACACAATAATACCAGGAATGTGCATTAAGTAAGCAAATGATACTTGATATTTTGATTTCATGCTGGCTTTAAGCTCTTTTAGCTGTGAGACGTCACTAAGACATTTTCTGAGAGGTAAAAAAAAAAGTCAAATGAAGGTCAAAGATTAAACACATATTGTCATATCTGGAGGTGGCAGCACCTTGTTATGGCTGTTTTATTGATTGTTCATCTGCAGGTACCTCCTTCTTTGTCATCCCTTTGCAATAGATATTCCATCAGTTAAACCATGATGTGACAGGACTGAATATTATGAAATTAGCAAAGAGCATTAAAAAATATTGAGATTCTACCAGGATCTTTTGTTTGAGTTCTGAACTAACGGTTTCTGACTCAAGTTTTCATCTACTAACTAGACAACAATGCATTAGCCTATTCCAAGAGAGATTAAATGTAATCAACTTTAAAGATCTTTTATCTCATGCAGTACATTTTGAGTTACATCTCGTCCCAGTTTGTCCCTTTAGCTATACCCCACTAATCTCTGGGTACAATCTCTCAGAAGAGTTTTATGATCCAATAATTTGATTGCAGCATGTCTCATTTTTCTCAGTGCATCAAGCGTTTTTCCTGCCACACAAAGCTAATCAAGATTGTCCCTGTCCTTTTTGTTTTCCCAGCAGGAAAAAAAATGAAAAACTGCCAGTGTGTGATTGTCAGGATTGGAGCAATGGTAAAATAGCTTAACCAATGCAAGATGGCCGCCCACAGGATCAGAGTAACCAACAACAACAATGTGCTCCCTAGATGTAAATCAGAGGGCACTCTTATTGACCTTGATGAGGGACTGACTGAGGCGAGTCTCATAGATGTCAAAGGTCAGTTTATTCCACTGCAAATAAATAAAAGGGACATCTAATATGGTTGTGCCATGTACATCGCAAATCAGTAATTATTATTAATATGTTTATCTTTACAGTGCCTTCTCCCAGTGCCTTGCGTTTGGCCCCCTCAATGTCATTTGGAACTGCACGGGAAGTGGTCGCCATAAAGGATTACTGTCCATCCAGTTTTACCACTCTAAAGTTCTCCAAAGGTGATCATCTCTATGTGTTGGACACATCTGGTGGGGAATGGTGGTACGCCCACAACAACCGAGAAATGGGATACATTCCTTCGACATATGTCCAACCGATCAACTACAGGAACTCATCTCTAAGTGACAGTGGGATGATTGACAATCTTGGGGACTGCTCGGAGGAGGGAGCAAAAGAGCTGGACCTGCTGGGGGAGTGGACTGGAATGTCGCTGAAACCCTCCATGCCTTATGACAACAACAACCCCTTCTCCATGCTCTCCTCAACCAACCCATTCCTAAATGGGTCCATGGATGATGTCCTCGATCAGAACAGTAATGAGAAGACTAACCAATGCAACAGCATGGATTTGCTTTTCTTTGACTTGCCTTCAGACCCCATCTCCACCAACAGCAACACAAAAGGGTACAGCAATAGTGTTTTTGATGGAACATCCACCAGCGCTGATCTTGAAGCCTTGCAGATGCTTCGCAAGGACAATCCCTTTTTTCGGAGCAAAAGATCTTACAGTTTATCAGAGTTATCAATCTTACAAGCTCAGTCGAATCCTCCATTGCCTTCATCAGGGTTTTTTACAGGGCTTAAAGCTCCCTCACCGGAGCAGTTTCAGAACAGAGAGGACTTTAGGACAGCCTGGCTAAACCATCGAAAGTTGGCACGCTCTTGCCATGACCTTGAGTCCCTTGGGCAGAACCCAGGCTGGGGTCAAACACAACCAGTAGAGACTAACATTGTCTGCAAGTTGGACAGCTGTGGAGGGGCAGTCCAGCTCCCAGATACGCATATCAGTATTCATGTTCCCGAAGGCCATGTTGTAGTGGGAGACACTCAGCAAATCTCTATGAAGGCTCTACTGGATCCTCCTTTGGAGCTGAACAATGACAGATGCTCGACTGTTAGTCCAGTGGTTGAAATCAAACTGAGTAACATGGAGATAAAGTCATTCATTACCTTAGAGATGAAGGTATCCGTCACGACTAGGACAAAAAGTCCAATGGCTGAGGTGTTGTGTGTAAGAAGTGACTGTAAAGAGGGTCCATATTCTCCTGTTCCACAAGCATACATTTATGGTGATACGATTCAGGTTCAGCTGGACAACTTGGAGCCCTGCATGTATGTAGCCATTGTTGTCCAGACCCAACATGTTTCCTTCAATTCATCTGTTTGGGATCATATGATGAAGAAAGTTACATTGGGCCTCTACGGCCCCAAACACATTCATCCATCTTTTAAGACTGTGGTGGCCATTTTTGGTCATGACTGCGCCCCCAAGACTCTACTAGTCAGTGAGGTTGGGAAGCAAGCAAAGTCTGCCCCTCCGGTTTCACTACAACTGTGGGGAAAGCACCAGTTTGTCCTTGGCAGACCTCAGGACTTGCTGATAGGTATGTACTCTAACATGTCAAACTATGAGGTCAAGGCAAATGATCAGGCTAGGGTTGTTCGTGGGTTTCAGATCAAACTAGGCAAGGTGAGCCGGCTCATCTACATGATTACGTCTCGGAACGCAGATGAGATTTCCGACTTCACATTACGTGTCCAGGTAAAAGATGATCAGGATTGCATCCTTGCACAATTTTGCGTTCAGACACCACAGCCGCCCCCTAAAACTGGGATACGGAACAGCGGCCAGAGGCGGTTCCTAAAGAAAAAGGAAGTTGATAAAATAATTTTGTCTCCTCTGGCCATCACCACCAAATACCCACAGTTTCAAGAGCGCTGCATTACCAACTTGAAATTTGGCAAACTGATCAAAACTGTTATCAGGCAGACCAAGAATCAGTACTTGCTGGAATATAAAAAAGGGGATATTATCGCCCTACTCAGTGAGGAGAAGATCAAACTCAAAGGACAACTATGGACCAAAGAGTGGTACATTGGATACTATCAGGGAAAGATTGGGCTTGTACATGTAAAAAATGTGCTTGTCTTGGGAAAGGTTAAGCCTATATACTTTTGTGGGCCAGACCTAACAACCACAATGCTGATGGAACAAATCCTGAAGCCCTGCAAGTTTCTAACTTACATTTACGCCTCTGTGAGGACAATACTTATGGAAAATCTGGGAAACTGGCGAGCATTTGCTGATGCTCTGGGCTATGTGAATCTTCCTTTGACATATTTTTGCAGAGCAGATCTGGATAGTGAACCAGAGAGGGTTGCCTCAGTGCTGGAGAAACTAAAGGAAGATTGCCTCAACATGGAGACCAAAGAGAAGAAATCTTTTCAGAAGGAACTGATGATGGTAAGCCTATGTGTGTGTTGGTTTGTCCAAACTGCGTAGTTTTCAAACTATTGTGGTTGTGTTTGCTTTTTGAATACAGTAAAATGCCTGTTCTAAATGGAGAACTATTGGAAATTTGGCCACAAAATACTTGATATAAACCTGTTTTTATGCAGTTCTGCTTATCTGCCTTTTCTCTTATTAATGCTTGGGGCTAATTCTGATGAGAGTGCACTTAGCTGCTCTGTGCTGCCTTTCTTATCTGTACAGCTGTGGAAACCTGCAAGTACAGCAGCCGGATCCCTTCTTGGCTCACTCACATTCTGACTGAAAGAAAGATTGCTCTTGTATTAGTTTTTTATCACAGGGCACAGGATGTCCAGGGTTGGTAATGTACAGTACAAACTACCATGGTTAAATCCCCATAATGTCCAGAAATATAAACTCTTTGGTGTCCTTAAAAGATTAGTTAATCTAAAAAAGAAAATTGTCTTCTTTTACTCACCACTTTTGCTCATGTTGTTACAAACCTTTATGGCTTTCTTAAATGTGAACTTAAATGATTTGGCCCTCACACAAAGTTATTTTTTATGTCTTGAGAAGACTTACAAAATTGTTCACAAGTCATATAGAACACTTTAATATTGATGGATCCTTTTTTTAAATGTTAGAGCTTGACAGCCCCAGACCTCATTAACTTTCATTATGTTAAAAAGAAAAAAAGTTGTACTAGATTGGAAAGACATTAGTGGGTGATTTTGGGGTGAACTACTCCTTTAGTTAGTTAGTTAGTGCTTTTTTTACACTATTGTGTTACTGTCAACACTAGTGTGGTTGAGTTACTGTCAGAACAGCACAGCACAGCACAGCACAGTAGAATTTTTTTATTTTTTTGCTGTTGTTGCCATTTCTACCTTACATACTTTCTACCAGCACTGACCAATATCCCATTTATAAGTAAACATGTTAGCGCCCCACTTTTGTCAGCTTGGGTCTTGCAGATCTGAGGAGACGGCTCATTGAGAAAGATGTGTTTTCACCTGTTCAGACTGGCCAGCAAAAGAGAGAACAGATGTAGTAAGTCCAGTCTTATCTTTAGCAAAATACTGGCTGTAACATCTTGTCTTGGATAAAAAATACTAATGCAAGTTTTGCTAAATTTCTAGTTATTTTTGAAGGTCAAAATAGATATTCTGACTATTCTCTGACCTCAGTGTTAAAGTGATATATCCCTGGCTGGAATCTTCATTTTTATATTTTCCTCCACAACAGACAGAGCTTTTGTTAAAGTTAAATTATTCAAGACTTGAGTGGACTGTAAGCGCCTGTTATACCTCAACAAACGTTATACACATCTCTTTCATAGTGTTCTGCTGGCTGAGAGGGAGCTTCATCATTGTTTCCCTGCCGTGCTTCTAGTGCTGACACATTTATCAAGTGGAGATGAGGCTATTATTCCCAAGGCCTGACGTCAGAGGCTAGCCGATTGTCTTTTGTGGTTGTGAATCGATTTTGAAATTGCAGCCTTTAGTCCCTGATGGACACACGGCCTTTCCTTGCCTCGCTCTTGCTATTATTTAGTGATTTGTCTTTTTGAGTTTGGTAATTACGCCCAATGCTTCTGAGTCTGGTGACATTTTGAGCTGTACAAACAATGAGATGGAAGAAATTTTGCTCAGCGTTAAGTCTGACAGGCCAGCTATTAAGCTTAGCATAGCAATTTATAAGGCTTTCAAGCTAATTCCCGTCGCTATTGTGATTTAACAATTCTGTATGCTGCCTCAGTATCCTAACTTACAGTTAGCATTCCACACACACAAATGTGCTTTGCCTAAATCCATAAATATATGACTTTTCCTATTAAGCCAAGTTTTATCGAGTCAAATGGCAGCTTGCCCCCTTTACTCAGCAAGTGGTGTGTTTTCAAAGCTTGTATGCTAGGTGGTTGGCTAGGCCTTCTGGAAGCTTCCAAAGACTGAAAAAGCTTGGCAGTTCCCTTAGCCATATCTAAACACTCCTAAAATAAAACTAAATATCAGGGGGGCACTCCAAGGCCATCAGACTAGTAAAGAAATCAAGCTAAACTGAGCCATTTTAAATGTGCTTGGTTTAAATATTTGAAGTGGGCAAAACTGGGGTTATCGCCACCTCACAGTCAGCCACCTGCTTTGGGCTTGGTGCAGCTTCTTTGTGTAAATGTCACTGTAGTCACAATAGCCAAAGTGTTGTAAGATAGCATATTTATATTTGTTGAGTTGTCTTTTTTAGCTCTTGTATAATCCTGGAGAGATCTGTTACATCTAGCTATTTCTAAATAGCGTATTTTATCTCAACTTGCTGACAGCAAGCTGACAGTTTTTTCTGTCTGTCTGGTTTAAACTGGCCATCTCTGCCCCTAAGGGTTAAATAATGCATTTATAAGAGATTTCCAACAGCTTGTGCCTGAGGACTGGCTGAGCCCTGACATTTTTCTCAAATAGCCATGGTGTGGTGGGACACATTTTACTTGCTTCTTTAGAAATCAATGTGAAACATGACCTTCACCTCTCCCTGCCCTCTGGTAGCATAGCCAAAATTAGATTATTTTTCTGTGGCTGTTCGACCATAACCGCAAAACTCATTTTACAGTCATTATTGTGAGTGGAAGTAGTATATTGACGCATTATGTGCCTGTTGCTGTATTGAGCAGTATCATTTAGCTCTATTGAGTTTCAAAGGGAAAAGCTGAAACTTTGCACTCGCTCTCACCTACCTACTCGCATTCCAATTTGCATACTATCTGTTCAAATCGATTCTAAATGATAAATGCATGGTGCCCGCATTGACAGATGTTTGTAATATATATATATACACTACCGTTCAAAAGTTTGGGGTCAGTGAGAATTTTGTTTTTATTTTTTGGAGGAAAAAAATCAATACTTTTATTTATCAAGGACAGTAAAGACATTTATAATGTTACAAAAGATTCTATTTCAAACAAATGCTGTTCTTTTGAACTTCCTATTCATCAAAGAATCCTAAAAAAAAAAAAAAAAAAACGTACAACTGACAGACCAACAACTGTTTCAACATTGATAATAATAAATGTTTCTTGAGCATCAAATCCTCATATTATACTGATTTGTGAAGGATCATTTGACACTGAAGACACTGACACTGGTGATGCTGAAAATTCAGCTTTGATCACAGGAATAAATTACACTTTACTATATATTCACACAGAAAACAGCTGATTTACACTGGAATAATATTTAATACTATAACTGATTTTTGTTGTATTTTTAATCAAATAAGCGCAGCCATGGTTAGCAGAAGAGAATTCTTTTAAAAGTATTTAAAATCGTACCGACCCCAAACTTTTGAACGGTAGTGTATATTTATAAACCTAAATGTTAAGAAATAATAAAAATGAAAGAAGTTTAGCTAGTAGCTATAATGTTTAAACGTTAACACTAAAGTTTTGTTAGATTTTAGCTAAATGCTAATGCTCAACTCATGCTATACATATGTGTGTGTATGTTTGTGTATACCTATATAAAATGTATTATACATTTCTAGCATGATTTGATCATTAGCGTCTTGCGTTAGCAACAAGCTAAAATGTTTATTTCTTAACTTTTATGAAATAATAAAAACGAAAGGAATTTAGCTAGATACTAGAACGTTGTATTAGATTTTAGCTTGATGGTAATGCTCAAATCATGCTAGAAGTGTGTGTGTGTGTGTGTGTGTGTGTGTGTGTGTGTGTGTGTGTGTGTGTGTGTGTGTGTGTGTGTGTGTGTGTGTGTGTGTGTGTGTGTGTGTGTGTGTGTGTTTGTTTATGTCCCTTTTGGGTACATTCACCAGGATACACACCAGTAAACTGAGGACCACCTCAAAAATTGAGGACATTTTGTATGTCCTCATTTGTTTGACTATATAATGGCATTCAGCATACTCTAAAATGGTGTCCAGACTTAAAATCTCACTTGTCCCAAAAAATCAGTTTTAAGTGATTTGTGTATGTGAAGTGTGTATGCCCCCCCACTAAAGTGTGTATAACACAGCGCCCTCTAGGAGTACTGCACTTCCGGAAAAGATACACACTTCGGGGATTCTGACCAATCAGAGCGCAGGAAGCCACTATGAGAGCGGGACTTAATGATCTGACCAATCTGAGGCCATCACGTCATCAACAAAAATGGCGGAGCGGAGGCGATATCATTATTATGAATGAATTAACAGATAATCCACATTCAATAATAGATAAATTCGCAATAATTATTATTTAAATAAAAATAGACTAATTTACCCTGAGCAGCAGGAGCTCTCACGATGTATATGGGCATGTTATTAAACTTTAATCCTCGCAGTTTTGCTCTCGCATCGGAGTCTGCTCTGTGTAACGTTATGTGTGTGTGAAGATCGCGCTGCTGCGCGTCACCGAGACTATACAGCTGTACAGTAACTTACATAGGAGTTTATTAATCATGTAGGAACGAGTTTGAAGCGGGGAAGAGACAGAGACATTACGTCATGTGAATTTACAAAGTACATATTTTCTTCCAAAAGCGGAGGAACAGCTGTTTAAATCTGTCAATATGGATGTGATGATTTATTCATCCAAGTTTGTTTAATAAAAACACACAAGCCACCAAAAGATGTGAAAACATGCTAAATCGCTTGCTTTTATGAGTGATTTTATTTGTTTGAAGTGTTTTCTCCTACTTTGCGTTCTGCCGTTTCCTCTCATAATATCAGTGATTTCCCTGAGCGGCCACCGCCCCTCCCCCACCCCCCGCACGAGCAGGACTCCGTTACCAGTTACCACAGCAACACATTCACTACAGCAAACAAGCTAACTTTTTTCTTTATATATTATATTATATTATATTATATTATATTGAGGAGAGCAGTTACAGCAAACATTATTCTTATTATATTATATTGCATTGTATTATTTTATATTATATAAAGAGGAGAGCAGTTACAGCAAACATTCTCTTTGTAGTATATGAGTCATTCCACGAAACCGGTACGATTTGAGTCCCTCTGACCTTTTTAAGTGTATTTTACCTATTGGGTCACCAAAATCTATTATTAAAAGCTTTTTGTATCAATTGAAATGTCTCCTTTAATAGAGTTTAAAAATAATGACAAACATTTTATCTTTATATTAGAAATTATCTTGATTTTTCAGTTGACACCACCTATTTTGTCATGTCC